TCCAGACTCCAAGTTCGAGTGAATTGTTTGATTGGGCGGCCCGGGAGGAGCGGATGGTAAAACGCTCACCGCAAGATCGGGTGTGGTCGGGCTTTTGAAAAGATTGGGTCATTATAATCGGCAGTCGAGATCGTCGCAGAAAGAATGATTTTTTGGGGAGCGGTGTGTAGAATTAAGCCTGGCCAGAGAGGAGAGTGTGAACCGGCGCGGGGAGCTTGTCGCGTCCGTGAAGGAACTCCAGCTCGAGGAGGAAGATGAAACCGAGGACCTCGCCGCCCATCTTCTGGATCAGCTCACCGGCGGCCTTAGCAGAGCCACCTAAGAATAGCTATTAGTATGAAGTATCCACCGATGGATTCTTGTCACATACCAGTAGCGATAATGTCATCAATGACGAGGACCTTCTGGCCGGGCTTGATAGAATCGGCCTGCATCTGGAAGAAATCCTGGCCATACTCCTTTTCGTATCCCTGAGTCTCACATGGACCGGGGAGCTTGCCCTGCTTGCGCACGGGGACGAAGCTGGCACCCAGGCGCAGTGCCAGGCTGGGACCCATCAGGAAGCCACGGGCCTCGAGACCGACAATGACATCGGGCTTCTGGTTACCGTAGTTGGCGGCGACGTGGAGTTCCAGGGAGCGGATCAGGGCCTCATGTAGGGAGGGGTCGGCGAAGATGGGCAGGATATCCTCGAACAAGATTCCCGGAGAGGGGAAATCCGGGAACTGGCGCAGGGCGGCGCGCAGTCTTACCGTAAGACTGGCGAGTTCGGCGGCGCTGGTGGCATCGGAGGCGGGGAGTCCGACTTTGGAGGCATCTGGGAGCGTGGAGGACATTATGAGAGGGAAGAGAAGAAAGAAGAGGGGAAAGAGGAGAGGGTTGGAGGTAAAAGGGTTTAAAAAAGAAAAAGCCCAAAAAACCTTTGGAGGGGAAAAAAGAGGAAATGGTAAAATTACAGTTGATAAGCCGATAATGGGGGGTTTCGTGCCCCTCACAGGGCCTAGATCGTTACTTGTTTTTTATTTTGATCTTTTTTATATAGAAACCAGATGTTATATATATCTCTATTTGGTTTATAGCACTAGAATATACCTTATAAGATCTCTATATTAACTGTTGGCGTGTCCTTCTATCAAACTACGGGCTCTATACTTCCAGGTACACAAAATTCAGCGGTCAGATCCCGCCACTAAGGTAACATACTGTCACGCAATGGCATATTATTCTTCTTCTAGAAGGTAAGACTACTGTACTACTAGTATACTTACTATACTCGTACAAGGGGTTGGATATGGGCCCGGCTTGGATCTGCGAGACCCTAATTGATTATCCCGTAAACCTAGTGCTCAGTCCTCTCGTCGCCAGGGCACGAATTGTGTTGCAGACGGATACCACTCGGTCGTCATCCCTGACACTGTGTTCCGGTTCCCCAGTAGCCTAGACCGTTGGGCTGCGACCTAGACTTTATGGTTACTTTGAAGGTCCCGAGGTCCAGGGGAGGACAGAAGGCATAACTGAACTAGGGCTAAGACCGCCAGACTACCAAGGGATCATCATAAATGACTCATGGCTCCTTGACCAGACTAGAGCTTTAGAATAGCATTGGATCAGACCATCTCATCGGATATGCGCCGTATGGCTAGCCTTGACACATCGTACGGCCATTTCACCTAGCCCTAGCCAATAGGATGTCTCGCGCCACGACGTGGTCTGAAACTCATCACAATGGCTTTACTGGAAAGAGACATGCGTGCTGCATAGCGGGATGTCTGTTGTGCAGATGGTGGGGGGATTTGTCCGTTGTCTGATCCGCCCCTCGCTTTGACTAGGAGAAAGGAACAAAAGTACGAGGTAAAATAGAACAGAGGAAGTGCAGGTTATACTAGTTCAAAAAGGAAAAGGGCAAAAAAGAAATCTCAGGTTTGGTTTTAGGAATAGCCGAACGCGGGGGTCGAACCCGCAGCCTTAAGATTAAGAGTCTTACGCTCTACCGATTGAGCTAGCCCGGCCGGGCTGTTGAATAAGACGGCAAAATAATGCTACATAAGCCTGAATAATAGGAGTTCCAATTAATATGGTCAAGTTGTGGTTAGATTAAGCTAGAATTACTGAGAAATATGATATTCCTCACTTATTTTTGTTTCTATTATCGATTTACCTGTCTTTATTACTGATATGGTTTTCATGACATATATGTAGGTTGTCTTAACCTGCCCGGTGCAAAATATTTATACCAACCCCCAGCTGAGCGTCGACATTCTGAACCTATACCATGTAGGGAGTACCACATACAAACTGGAGCAAACCCTTAACAACACCGGAAGAATGATATGATCTTCAAAATACAGAGTAATCCCCCTTAGATATCTCCTAGGTGGGCAGGTTGACTGTCCACAATTATACTTTACTTGACACTATAAACTCCATCATCCAGGTACTCATACCCTTTATGTTGTCACCTATATGTACCTGTATGTACCTGCGTATACCCTATGCAGTAATACTACATATACGTCCCATGTTGTACATCAAAGTATACTCGGCGGCCCAGGCCTAAAACGGGATAGCCCCTCACATGACCAGCACAGACCATCTCGCTTCAAGTTTTTCCGTTGTCTCCCCATCGCTATAAATCCGTCTGTTTCCTTCCTTTTCATCTCATGCTTTTAAAGATTGGGAGCCTCAACAGGCCACTTCGATTTCAGATGAATTTTTTCTGATACCTTGTAATAAATTTACTCATGTCACCCGCCGTGATTACCGAGATGCAGCCGGATCTGCATCATGACCAGCTCGAGGCCGTGGGCAAAGCCTTCGATGCACTCCTACTAACCGTGTACCGGCTGACTCACAGACAAAATGAGCTGTTACAGCACATGGGTAATGTCTTCAAAGAGGTAAATACACTTCTCTCCTCCCATATGCTTCTGCATCCTGGTCTCGCATGACGAAGAAAAGCTCTAGATCAGGAGTCACTTTTGTGGCGATGACGGATTAACATGTATTATCTGATTGAGACCATGACTGCCTTGCTGTTATGCATTTGACAAGATGAACGTTGCTAACTTTGTATCTTGCAGTACACAGCTGTGATAGAAATTCTGCCTCCTCAAGATAGACATCGTGCATTTGACGTTCAAAACAAGTTGCTCGCTCAGCAAGAAGAATACCGTCAGGGTCTCGTACACAGCAAGCCTCAAGTTGAGGAACAACCGTTGAATTCCATGGATGTAATCAAGGCCCTCGTTGCACATCAAAATGTAGACGAAAATACTTTCTCCGCTATCAAGAATGGAGTCAAAGGGTGCAAATCTTTACTCCGTTCCCAAGATAGCCTCTCCCAAATATCCTCGAACTCGTGCATCCTCGCGCAAGCACCGGCTCCAGCAATCGCGCTGGAGAAGGACTTCACAACGAATGGCACCCAGGGAAATCTACATTGCCCTTTCTCCAAACCGAATAAGATGCAGAGCACAAATGGCAGTGAGGCCCCCAGCGGGAAAAACTCTGCGCCGAAGATCCAGATCGAAGCTTGCGGCCACGAGCATCTGGACCCCATCAGGGCGGAACTCGAAGAACGACGCTCTAGCCACACACCATCAGCCCCGTCATCAAAGGGAGGATGCCCCGTCTCCCGATGCCCCATCCGATTCCTCGATCAGCACTCCCCGGAAGAAATCGCCGAATATGTTGAACGACACAAACATGAGATCCCCCGCAGCCACGCTATTTGTGTCAAGCGCTATCAGCGAAGCCCGCAGGACATGAGACAACTGGACGCTAAATACGGCGGCCTGACCAGCATGATCGCTGGCCTAGGTGTGAAGCACCAAGCCTTCTTGCCAGAATGTAATACCAATGGTGAAGCCCGCTCCTCGCATTCTGCGTCGAGTGAACGTGTTGAGAAATGGGCCGAGAACGTGGATCCCAGTACGCCCATTGCGCAAAACGAGGAGAACGAAGAGAAGAACAAGGAGAATAAGAATGAGGATGATAACCGCGAGAGTCACTTTGACCGCCCCCTGCGTGAAGTCCGCGTGGGTGAATCCCCGAGCAGGCCTTGGGGTATTTCAGTGCCTGTCACACATTTACCTCCTATCTCAGCGCCGGTCTCTGGTTCATCTATCCCCACGTCCCCCGACCCTCAAGCCGACATACCTGATAAACCCACCGATGCCGAAGTCCTTGCTAAGCCTGCCGGTGGCTGTCCATTCGGCCACGGTAAACCAAAGCCTGAAGCAGCAAAGCCCGAAATCGAACCACCTCGGACTGGGGAAAGTCCTAAGGACAATGAGATTACTTCACCAAAGAAACCTGGTTGTCCATTCGGCCACAATAAACCAAAAGCCGAAGTCCCGAAGCCTGATACCGAGGCCCCCTGGAACGGTGACTGGCCCAAGACCTGGCCCAAGGACCAGGCTGTCGCAGATCAAGTACCTGCACCCCAGGCCCAGGTTTCTCCAACTGCTCCTGAACCTGCGAGCGAAGACTCGACTACGAAACCCGGCATCCCCTCAACATTCTCACCCCCCTCCCACGTCACCTTCAATGGCCCTGTCTTCTTCGGGTACTCCGCCGAGGAGACTGCCAAACTATTGCAGCAGTTCGGCAACCTGGGTAAATCATGACCGCGAAGAAACTTCTTCGTATAGTATGTTCATGGAAGGCGCAGGCTTTTAACGCATCACGATGAAACGACTTAATTTTTTTAGCAAGCATTGTCGTTGTATTACCCAATTGATTCCTGATTTGATACAAATTTCAATCCTTCATCCATAACAGCTTTAATAACAAAATTCACAATGTAAAATAAAAGAATGACTTCATCGGGGAGCGTCGACGCTCTCCGAGGGAAACTGGCAGAGCGGGGCACCTTCGTATCATCGCGACCTTCGTAACTTCCTCTCTCCCCGATGCTGCGAACTACTTCTCGTCTTCTATCTCTTTCTCGAATCCTCCGTCCTTCAATTCCAGTCAGACCTCAATTCCCTTCTCCCATAATGTCTGCCAACATGTCCATCATCTCCTCTAAGGATGCCTGCCCTCGTAAGTCAAGCCCCGCCAACTATGGCTCCTCACCTGCCCTCTTAGACAGAGAAACCAGACTCAATTCCAGAAAAAAGAACCAAAGGAAACAAAGAACAATAGCTAACTCACATCTCCTTAGCTGCCGGCCCTTACGTACGTCGTCCTTCCCTCCATCTACCTCCGCTGCTCAATCTACCTTGAGAGCTAGCTACCCCTCCACACCGGACCAATCTACTCCAAAACACCATTTCCACACTTACACATATTGTAAAGACTATAAATGAACCATCTAACAAACCCAACTACAGTCCCAGGCCATCCGCGCCAATGGTCAGATCTTCGTCTCCGGCCAGATCCCCGCCGACTCCTCCGCCAACTTGGTCGAGGGCAACATCGGTGCCCAGACACAGGTTTGCTGCGATAACATCAAGGCTATCCTGACCGCCGCTGGCTCCAGCGTGGACAAGATCGTCAAGGTCAATGTATGTGTTTCCCTCCAGGCTGTGTTACTGTGGTGTTTCTGGACTCGGCTTTGCCGGGGAGAAGTATACATAAGATATGAGGAGGAGGACGCTTTGCTGATCTTTATTCCTTTCTCAGGTCTTCCTGACTGATATGGCCAACTTCGCTGAGATGAACGCTACTTATGAGAAGTTCTTCGTCCACAAGCCTGCTCGCAGCTGTGTTGCTGTTCACCAGCTGCCCAAGGGTGTGCCTGTTGAGATTGAGTGCATTGCTCTGGAGTAGATTTGAAAATCTATTTAGTTTTCGTCTTACTTCTACTCGAGTCATGGAAACAATATAAAAGACAGTTTAGTATAAGAATAAAAATGAGAATGAATTCGATCGAATTATGTTGCGGAAATCCTCGGGGATATCTTCATCTTGATTATTTCCATTTCCGATCCCGTTTCTCTCGAGGAACATACATGCGCGAGTACAAGCAGATGCCAAATTGGGAATCATAAGAGTCAAGGGTTCATGCGTCATGACACAGAATGCAAGAGACGAAGGAAATGGAGAAGAGGGAAGCAAAAACACACAACATTACTGGCTTGATGGATAAAAAAAAATAGGAAACATAAACGTCAAAAGGTCGGAGGGGAGAGCTTGATAGACAAGTGCATCATTCACCGGCCACGGGGCATGATACCGCTCATGCGGCTTCCGGCACCGGCCATCAGGCTCTGTTTCACGATAGCATCGGCGGCGGCAGCGGCAGCAAGTCTTTCCTTCTGACGGCTACGGTCGCGGAGATAGCCGGCAGCTTCGGGGCGCATGCGAAGAATGCGCAGGATCATGTCGTCGTTCGGATCAGCCTGCGCCTCCCGTCGCTTCTCTTCCTTGGCCTTCTTCATCGTGCCTAGGTTGCGGGAAAGCATGATGCTCTTGGCGCGACGGGCAGCAGGAAGACCAAAGCTGCCGTAGCCGGCACCTGTGGCGCCGAGGTGAGGAGGCGCAGAAGTGCGGTTGCGGGCCGCTTGTTGGCGGTTGACAGTCGCCGAGGCCATGCGTTCGGAGGTGCGGATAAGGTGCTCCGTTGGTTCGAAGTAGAAGAAATTCACCGACTGGATTTCGTGGTATTTGGGTGATTTCAGGATATCGATTGGGACGCCGTTTGCTTCGCCGGTTTCGTCGTCAACCGCATGGAAGAAGTTCAATAGTAGCACGAGCCAGCGTGATACGATGTCGACTTCTTGGATTGTTAATGGCTTCTGATGGGATGGCTTATCCGACAGGGGTGGTACAAGTAGACTCTCGATAGTAGCGAGCACTTCCTTCCATAGGCGAGCCATCACCATCTTCATGGCTTCTGGTGTGAGAGTTTTGTTCATGATGGCGAAGTTGTCGTTGAAATAATTGAACAGAGGAGTCAGCGCATTTTCGACATCTGCCGGAGTGGGTCCGGCAGGAGCTGGCTGTGCTCGATTGCGATTCAAGAAGCTCGAGACACTAGATATACTGATTCCGCGAGAGAGCAAAGACTTCAGTGTTCTCCGGGAAAGACAGTGACTGATGTATGACGAAAGCTTCTCTGTGATCTTTCGAGTCATATCCCTTTCCGTTCGTTTGAGTGTACGGAAAGCCTTTCCGAAGTAGAACTGGATGTCGTCTCGCTCGCCTTCCATGCTAACTCGGAGCAGAAGCCGACCCTGGGTATCCAGGTCGAGCCAATACTCCCTTGGCAAGAAGTCGCTGAAGTGCACAGGATCTAACTTGATCGACGTGCGGCCAACGTAGTCGTGATCGCCTACTGCGTCCCAGTCCCAGATGGTGGCGATGATGTTCAGAGGGCCCTGTGTGGTGAGATCCACTGCATCCTCCCATCGGGGATTAAGATTATTGTAGATGATTCGGGTTTTAGCAATTCGTTTCTGATACTCGTCCGTCAATACGACATATGGATCGCTGCCACCACCAAGGTCGCATGCTTTCAAGTCCTCTGCCTCCACTACCTTGATTGTAAAGACATAGGTAGTAGACTTGCGGACCTTTTTAAGCTGCGGTGGAGTATTCCTTGCAATGACTTCAGCGCACGCGTCGACGTTGATGTCCTTTTCGACTTTGTCGAGCTGAGCAAGTGCATACTCAATATTGTTCAGTTTCACAAGGGACTATGGAGAACCTTAGCCGCGATATTTTACCTAGTTGAAATGGATAAGAACATACCTCTGAGGAGAATTGGAAGGGCTCGATTTTATCCTTATTCGTCCAGGTATCTTTTGCGAACTGCATCAGTTTTTCCTGGGTGGTTTGATTCAATGCTGCCTCCTGCTCGGGAGTAAGACGATCCATTTCCTGCGTGAACATCTTCTCTAAGGAGTCACAGTATGTCGCCACACCTTTCCCAATTGAATTAGAGAGATGCGTCATGAACTTCGCATATTGAAGATCATCGTCCCACTCTAGTTGCACCATACTTTCAATAACTTGGTTGAAAGATCGGAAAATGTCAATGACTGACACACTGTGACGATCGTCTTCAGGCGCAAGCTCTGTCGTTCCACCTGAACGAATGGCAAATACATCTTGTTTTGTAGCTTCGCTGACCCAATCCATGATCTTTTGATCAGTCAGACGAAGCCATCTCCAGACGAAGTCCTGAAGGAGACTCTCCACATGGAATGGGAATGGAGCACTGAGCTAAGTTAGTAATTTCACAGAAACAGCGGGGGAGTCCAGGGGCTTACTCCTCATGGGTGTTATGGAATAACCGTCTGATAGTAGCGAGCTGCTTGTATAGGTCGAAGCCGTCGTCAATTGCGATCTCCTCACCCCTCGCTTTTGCCTGCTCGATAATCCTAATGACCATTTCATGTGCATCCTCGGCGAACATAGGGAGGACGTTTTGGCACAAGGTGGTAAAGGGGTTCACACTATTTGTAAGTTAGGAACTGATCAGCCAGACAGACGGGAGAGGAACCCACCCCATGATCTCCGGGTTTTTGCGGTAGCGTTTCTGAATCTTTAGCGCAAGCTTTGAGATTGCATCTCCAAGTTGAATGACATGGTCGGGATCCCAAGCCTCTTGTTCCACAGGGATTATTTCGCTAAGAAGGCTTTGATACTTTGTTGTTGCTTTTTCGGCAAGTCCCTCTTGCACGTAAGTGCTGAAACGATTGATGTCTTCAGGGTCCTCAATGTAGTTGGGATCCATCTGGATGTGGGTGTCAAGAATGTACATAACCGGACCGAGTGGGCGTGGCTTTGCCTCAAAGCAGTCCATCATAGCCTCATATAGCTCTCGGAGCAAAGCCTCATGAAGTTTGGACAACAGCATTTGCATCGTCTGAAGATCCTGGATAGTCCATCGTTGTCGATCAAAAACCGTGGAAGCCACAAAGCTACTGCGTCTGCGGTTCTCACCCGAAGGCATTTCTTTCACAAAAGTAAATGCCGAGTCAAGGGTAGTGAGATCGATTTCATTATCGACAAATTTAGCCTGAACCACCTCAAGGAACAACACGACCCGGGAGAAGGCTGGAATCCGCCAGCGGAGACATATCTCATTAAGCAGTTCCGTAGACTGCTTCGATAGCAGTTTCATTGAGGGTACGTCAGATGTAGCCTGCGTGGCTTCAAGCTCCCGGTCCCGCAAATCATGGGTCAAAGTCTGAGACAAGATGTATTTGTACAAAGACCTAGGGTCAGACGGGATGAATGTGTATGTATCGGATTCGTCCGACTCTTCTAGAGAAAGCCCAGTCAAATCAATAGGTTGATCAATGACATAAGATGTTCTGTCAGTCCGACCAGACGTTGTTCTCGACAGGTCGAGGTTTTCGTGGGGACTCGAATTGAACTGAGGAATGGATCCGGGAGTGCTCTTGGCTAACTCGGGGTTGGATTGCATGATTGCAAGCATCATCTGTGAGAGATCAGGGCCTTCGCTCTTTTTCCAGCTATCATAACCCTCGTCCGACTCAAAATCATCCCTTGACAATGTTTTGTGTGTCTGGAGGTTCAGGTGGGCTTGATAGGTCTTAAGATCCTGCAGGGCGGCCTTTTCGGTCCAGGCGGACTTGTGCTTATCGATTTCGGATTGTGCCTGGGATGTGGTCATCCCAAAGATTTTGGCTACATGTTGCACGAGGGGCATATCCTTCACATCATAACTCAATGCGCCAACACTCTCCGTGGCAGATGTAGGTCCGTTAGTTTGCATGAGGTCCTGATCTTGCAGGAGAAGCTTGTTTTCTAGCACCGTCAATCGGTTGGCCAATTCTGGGCGGTCCTTGGACCACTCGTGATCTTTCAGGGTGAGCGCAAGGAGTCGAACAAAAAGCGCAACGTGCCGATCAACCATGAGCTTCCAGCTGTCATCGTCTTGCTCTTTGCCCTTGCCCAGCTCTTTGACTGCGTTGGAGTAGAAAATCAGGAGCAGATCTTCAGCTCGTCGGTCCTTCTCCATGCGTTTTCGAAAGGAGGCCTCCTTCAGAACGTTGAGAAAGACAGCGAATGTCCGCACCACCAGGTGATCTTGGTATTCCTTCCTTTTCTCCTTTCCCATCAACACTCCAGTCAACCGCTTCTCCAGCTCGGCCACGAAGCCATGGGGAACTCTGGTGCTTTTCGAGTCTCTGACCAAGGAGAAATCGCTCATTAAATCATGAATGGAGGTGGCTGATCGTTTTGGCCGCGCCGGCGCGACGGGGGCATTTTGGATGCGACGAGAGCGAGGGTGGAGGAGATAGGCGAGGTAGGCGACCCGAATGGCATGGCTGTATGCCACGTTGGCATTTACGGGGCGGCGCCTCGATACAGAGGAGTTGCGCGAATGGCGACCCTCATTTTGAAGGCTGTTAATCCGTCGGTTGACTCCTCGGGATTGGGTAGATGCTGTCGACATGGAGTTGTCAATTAAATCCGTGAAACGTTAGGAGGTGACAGATAGCGGGGGACCATGGAGAAAGTTGGGAAGCACTTAGCACCCAGAAGAAGCTTTTAAAAGATTCTTTTCTTTCAGTCCAAAGTGAAAGGCCGCCACAAAGCTGAGGGGTGAATTGTTTATTGAAGGGGGCGAGTGAGGGGGGAGGTGAAACAAAAAGCTGCCGAACGACTGACGTATATAGGCATATAGGCAGTCCCGTCCCAAAACAATGCTATGTCTCCTCCGACTATTCTATGAGGTTATTATGGTATTTTTCTTATTTTTTCTTTTATATACAAGTGCTTATTGCATATTGCTAGTTCAAGGAAACTTGATCCTTGTTCTCCCTGGATGGGGCCACACTTAAAACGCTGCA